TTGCGAAACTCTTTCTTGCCGCCTCCTTCCTGTTGCCGCCTCACCTGCCAGTTCGATCTCCAGTTCAATGGGAGAAATCAAGATTCGATCTTGACATCAGTTCCTTGTGAAGGGAYTGRTRGRAAGYTGTRCTCACGTGCCATCCTGCTACTTCTTGCGAAGGATTAGGTTCTTGGAGAGAACACTGCTGATTCTGCTCCATCCTACACTGCGCCATCTTCAGTGGGAACGGTCTTTGGATCCTTCCTTGGGCGTGAACACCTTCGTTGGGAGATATTTTTTCTCCGCATCAGGTATAATCCTCTCCAACTGCTTTTGTTCAGATCTGGTTCGATTTATAGTTCAAGATTAATCCTTGAAAAATATGATTTTTCTAAAATAGGGAATGCGATTCCCAGTTGAAGGGAGAGAAATTTTTGAAATTCGCCCACCTTATTCCGCAAGATTTGGGCGTCCATACGATGGATCTCTCATCCCATCAGAGGGCACTTCTGTCATTGTATAATATTTACATAATATACACTTGATAGGCTGGTGAGGAAGATTAGGTTTTTCTCCCCATCACCACTCTTTGTTTCCTTGGTTACTTAAATGGTATCAGAACATTGTCGGTGACATTGGATCAGCTTCGATTCTCTTTGTTTTTCCCATTCTTCTTTGCATATAATACTGCAGCAAGGTTGTGAGAAGATTCTGACTGAAACGAAATACACATGTATATCTTTGTCCATTTGTGGTGAGTATCTTGTGGTGGGTTTTTGATACCCCCAGAGGCCTACACACCCTCTGGCGAGGGATCAGGCCACTGTAGTTTCCCAGTGCTGGAATTCCGATGGGACGGAGATGACACAATAAAAGAGAGGTTGCTGAAGGGATTTCAGATCTAGAATCTGAGATCTGAGAGAATCTCTCAATCAAGAAAGGAAGCTCACACAGGCTAGGAGTATGTACATGTTGTGAATCCACTCGAGGAACCCCTATGTAGATTTCCTTAGAGGTTTCTTTTTCTGGATAGTTTCCTTTTGGGTCTGTGACAAAGTTGTTCGATTTGCGCCACTTGGATTAGTTGTGGTCTTGCCATGTGTTTATGCAGTTACATCAGTACTTAGGCCCCCACCCTTTCCTGACGTACATTGAGGGCATGGTGCAGCCAAGCTCTGGTTGGGTTTCAAAAAGTTGTGAGATCGCAAAGTTAGTTTGAGTATCTCACGATTGAACTTCTGATCTCACAGTATTTGTGATTCAGAGAGCGAGCAAGGCTACGATAAGGCAATTGGTGATCTCACAAATGAGCTTGCTATCTCATGGGTTGCATCAGGATCTGAGTTGCTACAGCCCTTCCTAGGTCCTTAAGGAGAACACAGTGAGACACTGAGACGCGATGGAGTTAAGTGTCAATTTACGTATATGCAATGGGCGTAGTGGAACACTGCTTTATCAAAAGGCTACCCCAGTAGTATGATGCAACCAGTGGTTCTCATCACATCCTAACCTATGAACTGCAATAGGTTGTGTTCATGTTACGGCACAATTGTCCCATCACAAAGCTATCAATGTGATGCCTAATCACACAGTCTTACACCAAGTATATTAGGGAAAAGAAGCCTGAAACAATCTCTGCAAGATATATTGAGCGGAAGCAAAAAAAAAAAGCCCAAATTATGACCTAGTTATGGAACAGCATGAAACAAAGAATTAGTGTGAACTTTATGTTCCTAGATACAACCAAGGATATAATAGATCATGCTAAGAGGTTATATTTTGGACAGAAAAACATATCAAGGATTTTTAAGTTGTAAAAAAAACTTTTATCTCCAAGGTGATAAAACTGTTGAGGAGTATTTCTGTACACTCCAAAATTTGAGAAAGGAGTGAACACATATAGCCTTTATCTATAGACTTGAAAGTCCAGCAGCAATACCAGGAGCATTGGGATGTTGCCAAATTTTTACCTGGGTGGCAATACGAGTATGAGCCAGTTAGAGCTCAAATTCTAGAGAGTAGTGATATTCCTAACCTCTCAGAGGTGTTTTCTAGTGTTAGGAGAGTTTCTAGCCAAGGAGCAAGTAAAGGAGAGGGCAGGGAAGAAGTGGAAATGTGACGGATGGTCGATGGTGGTTGTGGGACCAAAGGTGGACGTTGTGGTATACAGATAGCTGGTGTGGGTCATTGTGACTGTGATAGTGGTGGTAGAGATGTTGGAAGACTTCATGGTAGAGGTGGCACTGGATGTGGGGTCCCATATATGTGCACTTACTGTGGACTTGAAGGATATATGGTTAATTTTTGCTTTGATTTGCATGGACCCCCAAGATGGGCTAACCATGCATTATTTTCCAACCAATAAACAAATGGACACTATAGGAGGTAAAAAGCCGATGTCAATTACTCAAGAAGAGTATGATGAACTACATTAATTGTCTACTTCCAGTAACACAGCTACTCTTGCAAAAGCAAGTATAGCTTGTCTAGCTCCTAGTTCTAAAACCAATACCTGAGTCATATATTTTGGACTTCAGATCACATGACTGGGAAGTCTTTACATCTTTGTCTTCCCCTTCACATTTCCAGACCGTTACCCTATCCAATGGCACCACCTCCTTGATATCAATACTAACGATGTTTCTCTTGGTTCCAATCTTAATTTGCCTTCAATTTTGTATGTATATAAAGCTCCTTTTAGCATCATGTCTGCAAATAAACTCACTAAATCCATAACTGCTTTGTCTCATTCTATCCTTATTGTGTCTCTCAAGATCTTAAGACCAGGAGGATGATTGGTGGAGGGCATGAGACAGGAGGGATTATACTACCTACATGTTGGTGGTTTCAGGAAGGCTTTACATTCCTCATACACCTCACCAGTGGCTTTGCCATTTGGGTTATCAGTCTCTTACAGTGTTGAAGTATCCAGTCCCGTCATTGCGTTCACTTACTCAATTGGATTATGAGTTGTGTCAATTAAGCAAATATCATAGAGTTTATTTTATTCCTATAGTCAATAATAGAGTTAGTAGTCCTTCTGGTCTTGTTTATTCAGATGTTTGGGGACTATGTTGTGTCACATCTTGTAATGAATATAAGTACTTTGTAAACTCTACTGATAATTATTCAAGGATAACTTGGATTTATTTAATGAAAGATTGTTCTAAGTTCTTTTCTATTTTTCAATCATTTATGCTGAAATTACAAATTAGTTTGGCATATTTATTTAAGAATTTCAGACCTGATAATCCCTTGAATATTTTCAAGGGTTTCAAGCTTATTTTGGCAATCATGGGATAATTCACCAATCTTAATGTTCACACACACCACAACAAAATGTTGTGGCAGACATGTCCAGGAGCCCTTTAAGTAGCGCAGCACCCTAATCCTGGGTCCTAGCTAATGGTCAATTTTAGGACTCTGCATGAACTGACTCAAAATTCTCACATTAAATGATAAATTGGGCCTTGTGATAATTTGCTAATTCAGCTTACCCACCAACCTATGATATCTACCTGGATCACTTAAAGGCTCCCATTTATTTGCCTTCGGCTTCACATAGGGTCCCTATTGGCTTTGCACCCAACATCATGTTCTCCTCCATTAAATCAAGAATATATATACCCCATATTCAGCATCTTCTTCTATGCGCTCCTTAATTTTTTTTCCAGTTATGTAACACCAGAACCTCAGACTATAATAAGTAACTTAGCTGAAATGGACCACTCTATAAAGTTGTACTCATCAAGCTTCACACTCATAATTTGTAGGTTGTGTATGTTAGGATTCTCCAAATTGATGGCATTCCCAATAGATTTTTTGTATTAAGAAGACACCCTCTCATGAAACCGAAGATATCTCCACTTCCTAATCACAAGAATTACTCAACCAATTGAAATAACAAGGGATGTATAATGCTGTAATCTGGAAACTGAGGCTGTAACCTTCACTAACTGCTTCCAACCTCCAGAAAATACTCTCTCAAGAGTTGTTATCTTCAACTGGCAGCAATAAACCCACAAACTAGGGTTTTTTCTAGAGTTCATGTATGTTCTCTTGCTTCTAGATCTGATCGAGATCAGATCTCCTTAGTGGGCAAATGGTACTCACTGCAACTGAAGTCTAGTAGGGCATAGACAGCTGCTGAGGTCCTCCCTTTTTAACAGGTCCTACACCCAAAGGATAAAACCCTAGGTGTAAATCCTTAAGGTACGATAGATAGGTTTAGGAAGGAGAAATCGGCAAAGTGAAGAGAGAGAGAGAGAGAAGCAAAATAGGTGATGAGAGAAAGAAAGAAAAGAATTGGACAAGAAAGGTCCCTTTTTAATGCTCTGAAAGAGAATAAGAAAAGAATATAAAACTGGAAGAATGGGCTGCAGAATGAGAATGATCTATCCGGCCCTAACAATTGTATTTAGGGGTGCTCACGGTTCAGTTACCATGGGCCAATATTTGAAACCAAACTGAATCAATCAATGAGCCAGTTGATCGGTTAACGAGATGATCAGTCCAGTTTCTTCAGTTTTTTGGTTTACTTTATTTATGTACATATAATATTATTAACAAGTTACAAACTGAACATTCTCAGTGTCCATGGAAGATGAAACATTGAACAATAGGAGGCTTCAGGAGAGAAATCTGAATACCGAAGGTTCAAGTCAAGAAAAGACAGATTGCTGAAGACTCACCGGAGAGGAAGAACCAAGTGTGCAAAGGTCCTCACTGCAGTCACTGGCCCACCGCAATTGGAAGAGAGTAGCGTCAAAAAAAATGTCTTTCTTCCTTGGCCAGTTGGCCTGTTGATTCCTTGATGGCTCTCAGGCTCTGCGCTTCTGGGGGTTACCGTGGTAGATGAAAGAATAACGAGGGTCAATGGTGGTTGAGCAGAGGGGAGAGACATGAGGCTCAGGGCCTAAGCCTGAGGGTCTTCTTTATGTCTTTTCATAAAAAGATTAAAAAAAAATAAAGAAAAAGACAGGACAAGACATATTTCAAAGAATAGTTTTTCATTCAAAAGATTTAAAAATATATTAAAAAAGGCATAGAAAAGAGAGCCAAATTGGTCTTGCTTCAAAATTGATTTCAAATAAGTAAAATACGTAAAAGAGACGGAGAAAAGAGCTCCTTACTTCATTTGACAATTTGATTTTTACTTCATAGAGACTACTCCTAGGCATCAAAACACCCATAACTAATCTACATAAATCTTCAAAAACTAGATGATTCAAGTTTCATAAATCAGACCTTTCAAAACTCATGTAGTCTGCTGATCATAGAACTACATAAGTTTCACTTCAATGAACAATAGAAACTCCATGCTGTAGCATCAACTTGTCTTTGTGTAATGAATAAGGGCATGGATAACAGAGCATATAGAGATAGATTACAGTGTAAGAAAAGACAAACAAGAGAGAAAGAATAATATAGATGGGCGTGGAGCCCAATCTCAACAATACATGAAATGACAAGGATACATACACCTAGCCAACCATCATAAGAAACACACCAATAACAAGTAAATAAAAAACATAAGTAAAGAATGCAATATCTCAACAGAAAACAAAAATTAAAGGCCCACTACATGGGCATTAAAAACATCACAAACTAAGTGAATTCCATTATTACCTTCTTAAGTACATAACCAGCAGCAATGATAGCAAACACAACCAAGAATAAAATGAACAACCCACTTTCCCAGCTGTTGGCAGTAACCTGAAATACATAGAAGATCAAAAAAAGAATAGGAAAGCAACCATGGGAAATCATCAATAAATGCACCAGTGGCCAATTCTCTTTTACCCTCTCAGTGGAAAATAAAATCGTCCTCATCAGTTTTCCTTGACTTGTTTCAAACCCAGTTCGTAAGACAACAGCCAAGCATCCACCATTAGGTGTTTTCAAATGAAAAGACTGATAGCAGTGGAGATACAGATAGGTAAGCATTTGTAATTCAGATAACCAAATTCACATGGTAGTGATGATGGTGGTCATAGTGATAGCAATTATAACAAAAACAATAATAAACATGGTATACCTTATCTGGAGTATGCTGCAATATCTTTGTTCCACCAAACAAAACATGGCCTTTATCCCTCTTAATGGATAATTCCTCATCAATTCCTCTACCTGCAACTGAAACCTGAAGAAACAAACCAAAAAAAATTATGTTTTGCATCCCAGACATGAATCAAATAGCAAAACCTTTTCCTTATCAATGAATTAGACATCTTTGGCCAATATTAATTTGCAGAGAAGAGCTATGAGGAAGAGGCCCGGCTCCATTTAGATTCAAAAATATGTGGTTGTGTCACCCGGGATTTGTAGAGAAAGTTGAGTAGTGGACAATGAGTAATCTAGGAGTTAACTGGGAGGGTATGAAATTTCATCGAAAACTGAAGGAGCTAAAAATCAAAATAAAAGATTGGAATATTCATCAGTTTGGTAGATTAGAAGAAAGAAAGCAAGGGTTGATGAACCAAATTGAGGCTTTGGATACCAAGGAAGGTGAGGGCAATTTTGAGGAAAATGATATGGCTGAGAGGTGGTCACTAAGGAAGCAGTTGGAGGATACTCTTTGTAAAGAAGAAATTAGTTTGAGACAAAAGGCAAGACACTTGTGGGTAAATGAGATAGGAACACACAATTCTTTCATGCGGTGGCAAGGGGAAAGAGGTCAAGAAATTTTATCTCCAAGCTAAAGGTGAACAAGGAAAAAATTACACAACATAATGAAATAGCCAAGGCCTTTGTTCAACATTTTAATTCTATCACTAGAAGGCCCCTGAATGAGAGGCTAAGATTTTATAGGTTGGTGGGGACAAGGTTTTCTGAGTAGGAAGGAGATTTGATTTGAATGAAATAAAGGGAGCAACATTTTCTTTGGATAGAGAAAAAGCACTAGGGCCAGATGGGTTCACAATGGCCTTCCAATAGGATTACTGGGAAATATTGAAGGTTGATTTTCAAAAGGTCTTCAATGTTTTTTTCGGGGAGGAGTGATCAACTATGGGCTGAAACTCCACCTACATTGATCTAATCCCTAAGAAGCCAGATGCAAATCATCCCCGTGAGTTTAGACCCATCAATTTAATGAATAGTCTCTTTAAGATAATTGCTAAGGTGCTTTCTAGGAGGATCAGAATAGTTCCTTCTATAATCTCTCCTAACCAAGGGGAATTTGTAGGGAATAGGAAAATCATTGATCAGATTCTTATTGCCAATGAAAATGCTGAGGATTTGAAATGAAATGGAAAAAAGGGTGAAGTGTGCAACCTTAATCTGGAAAAGACATATGACTTGGTGGATTGGTCCTTTATGTTGGAGGTGTTGAGGAATTTTGGGTTTGGAAAAAAGTGGTGTACATGGATTAAGGGTTGCCTCAAGACTTGCCGCTATTCAATTTTGATGAATGGAATAGTAGTTGATCACTTTCTTGCCCTTGAGGAATCAGACAAGGTGATGCCCTCTCCCCTTTCATGTTTGCCCTTGTTGTAGAGGTGCTTGGAAAGCTAATTTATAGAGCTGATTCAAGACATTTGGTAAGAGGCTGGGAGTTGGTAGGGACAGGGTCTCAATCACACACTTGAGTTTTCAAATGACACCATTTTGTTTTGTGAAACAGATGATCTGAGATGGGTAAGAAATTTGAAGTTGTAACTCTTTGAGAGGGCATCAAATTTGAAAAACAATTTTAACAAAAGCTATGGGGTGGGGTGAATATGAATGAAAGGGAACTACAGGATTGTGCTTCTATATTGGGCTATGAAGTCTCTCAATGGCCAATGAATTATTTRGAGCTTCGGAGGAGGGACTGTTGAGACACAAATAAAGGGAATACAAGTGTACAAGAAAAGGCCACGCCAGCCTTTAAAGAATGTAACTAACAGCCAACCACTAGAACAAACTAACAAACTGAACAAGTGGAGAGCGGGTATAACAGAATTGTAATAGCAGTATATAAATAAGGAAAGGAAGCTAGGAGGGGATTTATCGATTTGGAAATACAATCTCTCTTTCTCTCTCTCTCTCATTCAAGAGGCAGGCTCCCTCGAAAGAGTCCCTGAGTTAGGCAGTAACTAACAGAGACAACCCTAGAAACAATAGCTTTTGGAACCATGTCAGTGACAGATTCACTAAGAGATTAGTCACTTGGAAGAAAAATTATTTTTGGGAGAGAGAGTCACTTTGATCATGTCAACTATGGAAAATCTGCCTCTGTACTTCCTATATGTTTTCAAAGTCCCAATGGGTGTAAGCAAAAGGTTAGAAAAAATTTATAAAAGATTTCTTGTGGGAACCTAGGGAGGAGAAGAAGGATCATAGGGTTAGTTAGAAAATAGTCTGCAAGAGTAGAAGTGGTGGTGGTGGTGGTTTAGGCTTAGAGAATCTTCAGAAGAGAAATTTGGCTCTCCTAGGGAAGTGGTTGTGAGCAAAAGCAATCCTTAGCATTCATGGGTTGTTCGCTGAGGGCTGGAATACTGGAATGCTGGAGTGCTAGCTCGGGCTACAAATGCTTCTGCTTGGAGGTCAATACATGCCATCCTACCTCTCTTCTCACCTTTCATCAGGTACAACGTACAATTTGTGCTCAAGGGGCCTTGTTATGTTTTGGGAACAAATTTGAGTGGGTGAGTTACCATTAAAAGTCCAATTTCCCTCCTTGTTTTCTATTTCATGTTTTAAGGATGAGCATGTATCTCTCTTAGTTCCTTCTAATTCAGTCTTAGGGTTTGACTAGGATTTGGATTCTAGGTGGGGTCTTAGAGATTTAGAAATGAACATTGTTTTGGATTTGCTCCACCTCCTTACAAGGGGTTTTCTTGGACCCTCTAAAAATCTTGGGTTGCCTTTTCCTATAAAAAGAAGTGTGGGGAAAGTCATTTCCGCCAAGAATAGGGGATTTTTGTAGGGAAGTTTTTGTTGGGAAGATTAATACATGTGATTACTTGAAATGAAAAGAACCTCTTGGTGTTTGTCCCCTAACTGGTACGTTCTTTGTATGGCTAATGGTGAGACCTGGTGCGACTTATTAATCTCCTACCCCTTGTTCTTTCTATTTGTAATTGGTTTGTTTCTTTTTCGGTTGTAGGTGTACTCTTTCCCAGACGTACAAGGCTTGTTTGTTTCCTCGGCTATCAATAGTGTTTTAAAAGCACAGGGCACAAAAAAAGCACAAGGGCCACTTGCGCCTGAGGAAACAGCCTCTTGGATTTCAATGCTTTGACCCTTACCTACAAGTTTTAATTTAGCTTTAGCTGAAAAAGGGCAGGATGATCACTAATGAGAACCTGTAACATCTCATACCACTTGAATCCGGTCAAGATATGTTGGTGAATAAGTACTCAGAATTAAACCCGGATAGAAACTCAAATACCCTAATGTACTCCACCAGCATTCTATGATTTGCAACATCTCTAGGACTTTCCCCACTCTATTGGCACCTACTCCAACTAGAGTAAATAGAAAAAGAGAACCACTTTAGGGTCAAAAAGTCCAACAACCAGGCTAAGCAGGGTTTCAAGACACTGATTACAAGTCTTAGCCCATTTTAGGGTCTATTGGTAGTTATTTAAATTCATCATGGACCTCTGAGCAAGTAACAGTTGATAACAACTACCATGCAAAACGATCAAAGTAAGAAGAAAGAGATGATCACCCTCCATAGCAATAAAAAACAAAGACCTTACACCCTAATCCTAACTTGAAACAAGTAGTGAAAAATAATACGCAAGAAATATCAGAGTAAATAGATAAGAGAACCACCTTCCACTGAGGAGTAGACTCGCCTGTGAGAATAGCTTCATTAGCAATTGCACTTCCGGCCAATATAAGCATGTCTGCTGGAACAGACTTATCTTCTCCATTTGGACCAGAGGACCGGCCAATGGAGACAACATCCCCAGGAAGAAGATCCGTCCCAGGGATTTCCATCCACCTGAAAATAAAAACCTTCAGCACAAAATTGTTGCATACTTGATTGAAAAGGAAACAGACTTATTTGCAATTTCAATAATATACCTCCCACAACGATGTACCATTAGTGTCTGGCTGTCCACTCTTACACGTCTAAGCTCAGTTAGTGTTTTCAACCGACTTTTAGCCATCGTTGACTCAAACACAAATAGCATGACAAGGGTGAAGAGACTATAGTACCAATACTCATCCAAGCACCAGAGACCAACACAGAAAACCTAAAGTTTAAACCACCATTTCACAAATTAAAAGAAGAAGAAAAAGAAAAAGAACCAATGAAAGAAGAAATGCAGCATAAAACTACAGATCTGAGAAGGGAATAACTTTCTAACAAAGACAAACCTGGAAAACGAAAAATGGCTCCATGCAATGCTCTTTCATCAACTTCTGGAATGTGGGTTGTGGGTATTCAAATCTGCAAAACCAACAAGGTTCCATCAAGCAACAAAACAACATCATTGAGGTAATTGTAGAAAGCCAATGGGCTTACAATGGTAATTATTTAAGAGGGATTTTTTGTCATTGTACTTGTACAGTCACATTATGAAAGTTATTAATCTGGGTAGAAAAACCCTAGGCTTTGTTTTATGTTCCAATTTCTTTTTTTTTTTTGAAGGATAAAAGGAAATTTCATTAGAACTGAAAAAAAAAAGCAGTACATCTCAGAAAAATGGTTGTCTAGTTGACAAACCAACTACTGAACAAAATTACACCTGTAAAAGACATAAAAATTACAGGGGTTCAACTCTAGAGCACACCAGAAATTCTCTATCAGATCTGACTTGTTCACTTGGTCAAACTCTGGAAGACTGAAAACCCAGGCCGCAATTGAGTTGCACACCCCTGCTAACAAGTATTTGGCATTCTTTGCCTTGTCTTCAAAGATCCTTCTATTTCTCTCTTTCCAGATGAAGCAACATACAGCAAAAGGAATACAGCTCCAAAGAATTTTCGCTTTTTTGCTTCCTCTGATTTTCGGCCAATTAGAAAATAACTCAGCTGGAACCAAAGGGTGAAAAGACATTCACTCCAAACAGAAAGGAGAAAAACTTCCACATGAAGTTTGCCATACTGCAAGAGAAGAATAAATGGACGACTGTCTCTTCCACTTGATTACACATAAAACAGTAATTTGCTAACTGCAAGCCTCTGGATTTCAAGTGATCATAGGTTAAAATACTGTCGTGTGCCACCAGCCAAGAAAAGGCTTCCAGCCTTGGGGGTACTGGGTTATCCCACACTCCTTTTACCTGATCTGAATTCCTGCCATCTCTCAGTAAGATCTTGTAGAAGGATTTTACTGAGAACCTTCCTTCTCTGCACTCTTTTCACCATAAGCCATCTGCTATACCTCTAGGGATGTTTGTCTCTTCTAACTTCTCCAATAGCAGAATGCATTCTTCCACTTCTTGATCCAACAAAGGTCTTCTGAACTTTGGGTTCCAAATCACTCGATCCCTCTCCACTCATGGCACTGCTCGATAGATACTTGATGATCTGTCAACTTGTAAAGTCTAGAACACACCTCACACAATTTTCCCACCCCAAATCACTCATTTCCCAAAACCTTACCTTAATTCCTTCCCCCACTTTAAACTTCACTAAACCTCTGAACTCTTCGTTAAAACTCATTATTCCCTTCCACACACTTACCCCATAGGAACTTCTTACCTCCCTTGATTCCCCACCCAAACCTCACAACTCCATATTTTCCTACCACCACCCTCGTCCATAATGCTTCCCTCTCTCCTTGCCCAAATCTCCACAGCCATTTCCCTAAGAGTGCTTTTCTTAATTAATTTCACCCTCCTTTACTCTACAAACCTTTTTCCCATTTGACCAAATCAATTKTTTTAATAAGGAGAGATAGTATGTTGGTATGCAAGACAGAACACTCTTTATGAGTGTGATTCTCCCACCCAAGGATAAGTACTTGGCTTTCCATCTATCTAGCCTCCTCTCCACCCTTTCTATTAAAGGTATCCAAATACTGCTAGCTGTTGTTTCTGCTCCCACCAGTAGTCCAAGATAAGTAAAAGGTAGCTCACCTACCTCACATTCCAGCACCTCTACATATTGCCCCACTTCCTCCACACTTAGGTTCCCGACTCCTATCAGTAAACTTTTTTCTAGATTCACCTTCAGACCCGTCAACATCTCAAAGTTGGCTAAAATAGCCCTAAGACTCGGCACTTTATTTGCTGATGCATCTAGGAACGTTAGTGTATCATCAACATATTGTATGTGAGTGATACACAGGCCTTCAATTTCAATTTTGAAGCCTTCTAAAACAAACTCATGGAAACGCTTTACAAGTTTCAGCACTTCAGCATGAGAATTCATAAAACAAATCTAGGTATAATGAGAGAAAATATCAATAAACAAAATAAAGTATTTATAGAACTTGACTCCTACACTCCTCACTGCTAACCAAGGCATAAGCTTGAGAATAGGTCACCTCATAAGCAGGAAAAATGAGACGAGGGCGGAGCTCTGTCAACTGGTAGGTTGCGCCTTAAGGGCTCATTTTGGGTTGAGATTCAAAAGGATTCTTCTCAAGGAGGGAGGAGTGCTCCGTCTTCTCAAGCTGTTGTAACGCTAGAAGAGGGGAAGGAGAAAGAGGTCATAGGTATAGGAGAAATAGTGGTGGAAGGGGTGAAGGAGGAAGGGAATGTTAAAGAAAGAGAGAATGTTAAGGCACTCTGTGAAAGATTTGCAGAGAGAAATTCATCAAAAAAAAAGGTTTGCAGAGAGAAGCTCGGGAGATAGCTCTGGTCTTAAGGGTGATAAAAGAGATGGAGAGTGCAGTTGTGGGAAGACTAGGATTTGATTTGGGTAGGAAAAGGAAGTTCGTGAATCCTGGTAGTTATGTGGGGGAGGAGGCAGTGTTTTAAAAGGTGCGCTTGGCGCATAGGCGAGGCGCATTTTGGGGTATGCGCCTCGCCCAGGTCCTAAGCGCACCCCTTTCAAAAGGTGCACGCCTGGTGCACCTAGGCGTGCACCTGATGCGCCTTGTGCCTCAGCCCAAACGTACACCTTTTTAAAATTTTGCAATTTTTGCTTTTCTTTTTTTTAGTCTAACGGCTGGGCCGGAGGCTCCGCCCCCAGACCATGCCCCTCGAGAACCCCCATTTCCTAATGTTGTTCATTCATTCATTGCAATAAAATATCTTCTTAAAAGGCAATGAAAGTTATAAAATCATTATTTTTTGTGAGAAATAAGAATTTAAGACCCTAACATAGACTTATCTGGGCTTGCCTTGAGGGACGTGGTACAAARGCAACTCATAGAATCAAGAATGCAATATGTTTTACATCACATTAGCTACTTGAAGCAATGCAATTAAGCAAAAAAAGAGATTGTGGATTTTACATGCTTGAAAATGCTTTATATGTTTGCTTTTATTTTTAAATTTTCATTTGAATACGCTTTACATGTTATGTTTATGTATTTTAATTTTAGATAATATGTTTTTTAAAACTTAAGTTTATATTTTTTATTTGTTTTTTTGCATTTTTAAAATTTTTTGGCTTTTTTTGTATTTTCTTTTTTTATTTTTTAGCTTTTTTTTTGTAATTTTGCGCCTTGCTTAAAAGGGTGCACACCTCGCCTTGCGCCTTGCACCTCAGGTGCAAGTTGGCCCTTGCGCTTTTAAAACACTGGGAGGAGGGGAAGAAAATATATACATGGTTCACAATGAGAAATAATGAGTTCAATGATTGTTTGTCTCATGTAATAATTAGTTCAGTGATTCAAGTGATACATGGTTCACAATGAGAAATAATACTTACGCATTCCGGCCCCACTTCTTGGTGGCAGCAACAACTTTAGCTTCTGAACCATGGCCTGTATTTCTGAGATAGTATCCAAATGTTTCTTTTGTAGGGTAAGGGAGCTTGCAAAAAGTCTTCTCCTCATTTGAAAAGATGAACCGTTGCTTTCTGAAATCAAAATATATTTCTTCTGCATCCACCAGAGATGGTACTGGTGCTACAAGCTGTATAAATGCAGAATAGTTTATTCAGCGGGTCATAAAACAACTAATATGGTACATTTATTAAAGAAAATTTGAACTAAAAATAATAGGTTGCTTGTGAGTTTTAAACATTAAAAAGAAACAAAGGACTAAAATACTCCAGATTCTTGAAAAAAGGAATGGATTAATGAGAAGTTGATTAAAAAGGATTAGACATCTGATAGGTCTTGGAATAAGACAACTACTTTTGGGAGAACAAAAATAGGAAAATCCAGGAGAAAGAAACAGTCAATCAATTGCAGAAACAAAATCCAACATTTACAAAAAATTGCATGGATTAAGATCCAAAAAAATCTTGAGCAGCATCTGATGAAACAAATTAGAAGATAGGATTTTCTAATGAAGCCGGATTCAGATATGGCTGAATCCAATACAAATACAACCCAATTACAGCTGTATATAGGCAATGTTGCTCTTTTAAAAAAAAAATAATTAGCAACATGGCCTATAAGAAATATAATGAATTATTTGTATATGAGACACAGTTGGATAAAAGGAAAAAATTCAAATCCTTCCAATACATTGTGTGAACCATGAAGCTTTAATTCCCTCAGGACAAGGAAAATTCCAATTCTTGTTTATGTTACTCCTACAATGATCCTTGGAAATATATGAAGCAAGATAATGGAATCAAAATGAAAATGGTAACTTACAGATCCACGAAAATGAAGTGGAACAACTTCCTTAGAACCAGAAAATCTTGCAGGAATTACTTTGCATGCATCTGCACAATGAATATCTCTAACCTGCAAAACCAAAACAAGCATTAACCAAACATCACAAAGTCATGGCTGGAAGTTGGTCAAAAGTTTTACATGCATGATATCAAAAGACAACAAACGACCAAAGAATAGCCTATTGTTCCGCTTGGTGAAAATATAAGTGATCTGCTAGGATGCTTACCAACTCCAAAGCCAAACAATCAGCTTTTTTTATAAATGAAAGTAGTTTGATTAAATCAAATAACGAAAATAAATCAGCCTAGGAGGAGGCACGAGATGTTACCCCCCTAGGACTGGACCATATACACCAAAACTGCCCAAGACTGGGACACAATTATAAAGTAGCCCAAAATAGATCTCCCCTTGACACCCCTTGCTTGGCCAGAGAATCAGCCATTGCATTTGCTGATCTTCTGACCCACTGAAACCTGACAGTCATATTCCTTGTCAACCATTTAACTTCTTTAACAAATCCCTGTAGCCCCAACAAGCTGTTGCTGGGCAAATTAGCCAGCCTACTACTACTACCTTGGAATCCCCTTCTACTAGCAGATTGGTCACTCCAATTTGACTAGCCATCTGTATACCTTGTACCGCTGCTAGTAGCTCTGCCCTTACTGAATCACCTTCACCCACTGGTCCTGAAAATAGAGACAACATATTGCTGCCTTTGTCTCTCAAAATCCCACCAATTCCCGATGGCCCTGGGTTACCTTGGCAACTTCCATCAAAATTCAATTTTACCACACCATCCGGTGGGGGAATCCATTCAGCTTGTGATTTGATCTTGGTGGAGACTGTAGCAGACACTGCAGCCCAATTTCTCCTTAAGTCATCAAAGGAGTAATCTGCCAACAAGTGTGAAGAATTTAACCATGAGATAGTCCTTGTCAATATGCATTCCTTGATTTCAGCAAGACTTCTTTCCTATTCTTGAAATATTCTAGCATTTCTCTCCTCCCATATAGTCCACAACATAGCAGCTCTGATACATTTCCACATTAGCTTCCCTCTTTTTGTCAATCTCCCAAACGCAGCTAGAGTGAACAAAAACTTTACTTAAGAGGGCAAATTCCACCTGCACCCAAATAATGAAACAACCCAGTTCCAAATATTGGTAGCAAAGGAGCATGATATCAGCAAATGGTTACAGTCCTCACCCTTCACTTTACACAGAGAGCACCAATTAGGGAACAAACACATAAAAGGTTTCTTCTTTTGCATGTTTTCCACAGTATTTATCTTACAATGATAGGCTTCCCAATAGAACATTGCTATTTTGGGGGGAATTGGTTTTGACCATACCTCTTTAACGGGGAAGACCTGAGAGGAGGGGTTGGAGCAAAGGGCTTTAAAGAAAGAAGCACAAGTGAAAGAGCCAACTGGGTTTAGGGACCAGACTCTTTTATCCGAGTTAGGGGGGTCCAAACACACCGAATCTAGAAGTAACAACAGCTCTGAAACGCAAAGAGATTCTTCATCCCTTAACCCTCTTCAAAACCCAAAATCCCAATTTAAGGCCAAAGGGAAAACTGGGGGGGGAAGGAACCAAGAAATGAGTTTCTTTTTAAAGAGGGAGATGGAATAGAGAGAAGGGAAACGGTCTTTTAGGGGTTGAGAGCTCACCCAAGTATCTTCCCAAAAAATAATGGAGTTTCCAGAGCAAGMATCGTACCTTACAAAACTGAGGAACTTAGGGAGAATACGAGAGATAGCCTTCCAAGGTGTTGTGAGCAAAGCCCTTCGAGATACTCCCACATCCCAACCTGATTCGAAACAGCCATGGATACTTTTTAGTACTTCATGCCACAACCTCTCCCTCTCCAGGGGCCACCTCCAAAGCCACTTACCTAAAAGAGCCTCATTCTTGCTCACCACGTTCCCTAATCCTAGGCCTCCTTCTTCCTTACTCCAACACGCTACCTCCCACCTAATCAAGTGATCTTTTTTTCTCTTCACCAGGTCCCATAAGAAATCCCTCATTAGTTTTTCCAACCTCTTTGCCTCCCTTTTAGGAATTCTAAAGACTGACAAGAAGTATAAAGGCAAGTTGGCTAAAGTTGCTTTAACAAAGTAACTCTAACCCCCGTTGGAAATATAGTTTCTCTTCCAAGCTGCCAATCTTTTTTCGAATTTTTTCACCACCGGGTTCCAGAACCTACTTTCCTTTGGATTTGCACCTAATGAAAGTCCTAGGTAGGATAGAGGCCACTGAGAGCAGGTGCATTCTAGCAAGGCTGCTATAGACTCCAACTCCTCTCTGTTCAAGTGAACTCCCACAACACAACTCTCTTCTCAAAATTTACCTTTAAATTTGATGCCCTCTCAAAGTGAATTATTAAATCCTTCAGATTCCTTACCTCCATCAAATCACAACCTTCACAAAAGATTATTATGTCATCTACAAATTGGAGATGGGTTACTAAAACTCTATCTCTACCTATTCTCCACCCTCTTAGAGATCTGGCTCTATCCGCTTCTGAGAGAAGTCTACTAAAAGCATTGGCGACTAAAGTGAAAAGGAACGGTGACATAGGATCACCTTGTCTCAGACCCCTACTAGCTGGGAAAAATTCATTAACTACCCCGTTGACTAGGATGGAATAATGGCAGTTGCACAGGCAACCATTTATCCCCAAACCCACACTTCCTTAGAACAAGTAGTAAAAACTCCCAATCCACCAAGTCATAGGCCTTTTCAAGATCAAGTTTGCAAACAAAACCTTGACGCCCTAATCTCCTTATCTCCTCCACACATTCATTTGCTATTAGAATCTGATCTACAATTTATCTCCCCTGAACAAAAGCTCCTTGCGCTTGGCTGATAAGACAAGGAAGCACCTTTTTTATCCTCAAAGATAAGACCTTAGCCACAATCTTGTAAACACTAGTCACCAAACTAATAGGTCTAAAATCCATTGGATGCTTGGCCTCTTTCTTCTTGGGAATTAAGGCTAAAAAAGTAGCATTAATTCCATGACTCATCACTGGATTATCCTCAATTTCCTTAAAGACCTTAATTAAATCTTCTTTGACTACGTCCTAATAGTCTTGGAAGAAAGCCATTGTAATCCCATTTGGCCCTGGTGCTTTTGACCTGTCCATTGAAAAAAACGGCTTTTCTGATTTCTTCCTCCCCAAAATTCCTTTCTAGCTAGCTTCTACTCTCTTCTAGAAGCCTCTGCCAGATAACGCTTTCCAACTCCATACTAGGTCTTAAGGGTCTCCTCAAGATGGATTTGACGTGGTCAACAAAACAATTGGCTATCCTCTCTTGGGTATCAAAGACTATTCCATCCACTTCCAATTTGGACACTAGGTTTTTCCTTCTCCTTCCATTGGCTAGGTTATGAAAGAATTTAGTGTTCCCATCTCCTTCCTTAATCCATTTACATCCAGACTTCTGCCTCCAAGAAATTTCTTCTCTCAAAACAACTTCATCTAACTCTCTTTTTTAGTTCCCATCCCCGATCTCTCTCTTGAGGGCTTATGGTTCATTGGGATTCCTTCGCATCTAGTTCCTCTATTTGGGTCATCAGAGAGGATTTCATTTCTTCTATTCTCCCAAAATGCTCCCTATTCCACTCCTTCACATGTGCTCTCAATCTTTTAAGTCTTTTGTGAAATCTTACCCCTTTCCACTTCACCCCCCTTAGGTCTTCTCTCCACTATTCCTCAACCTTCTTCACGAAGTCCGGGTGAGTCAACCACATGTTCTCAAACCTAAAAGGTTGGGGTCCTTGCCTAAAAGGTTCCTGTCCTAGGCAAATGGGGCAGTGGTCAGAAGTGGCTCTCGGTAGAGACCTAGTTATCAAGTCCGTCCACTTATTTTCCTAGCTTTCATTGAAAATGAATCTATCTAATTTGAAGCAGGTTGGTGTCTCCTGAAAGTTGGGCCAAGTATAGAGGGCTTGCAGCATTGGGAGTTCTTTTAATTCATAGTTATTAATAAAATCATTGAATATCCGCATGTTGGTTGTAATCAGCATATGTTGTCCTCATGTATAAATACATAGTTTCATTTATCCATCTCTTACACAGATGTGTGTACATATACCAATCCAAAAAACAAATATGTATGCATTGGCATTTACATGGTGGGGGTATTCTAACAGGTCTAATTAGATTTCTTGATGGTGTCTCCCTTCAGCAACATGGAGGGATGACACAGCTAATCCAAACAGTCCATAAATAAGGGCATCCTCTTGACTAACCTTGTTTACTCTATCCCCGACCATGTTGGACCTTTTCCTAAATGATGCTGGAAAGGTTGCTAGGCTGAAAGTTGCCACTTGAATGGATGGTATGGTAAAACAAATAGATCAACTTAGCTATCACAGATACACATGGAAAACTTTAAGTCATCCAAGTCTTTGCCTAAAGACCACCTATCCCCCCACACAAGGATGAAGCATGAAGCATTGCCTTCCCTAACTATTTTTACATGGCAACTTCCTGATATCAGACACCCAAATAGGTCACTGGGTGGGGTACCCCTTTAAGAAAGTAAGACCACAAACTCTTGTTTGTGGTTCAATGCCCTTTCAATTACACTCAACTTCGAATATGAAAAGAAAGAAATGTAGGGACGGAAAATAAAGTAGCAGGCTTAGGCATGAACAGCATTGATGCCCAAAACCATATGATTAAGAAACTATCACATCAAAAGAAATTATTAATCCGGTAACTGCAGATAGATCAAATAGCATAAGGAAAAATAAATCACTGAAATCTAAAGAAATGAAAAAGGGGGTTTTATTGTTCACTCCACCTCAGAATTCATAATACAATCACAGTACAATCGTACAGTTAGGGTCAATATCATGGGGGAAAGATGCCRAATTCACGGGGATGGTGTTTATAGGGGGAGCTGGGCATAAATAAAAATTTGACCTATTCTGAGGTGGACTGAACTGTAAAAATCCCTAAAAACAGATAAATATATATATACAAACGAGATAAAAGTTTTCTATCAGGATTCAGGACTTATATCCATAAGTACCTTGCTGTACTGGACAAAACACTTGAAGTCCACTGACCAAGCCGTGAAAAGCAGAACCAGAACGTGAAGAGCAACCAGACCACCAAAAACTATCAGAGCGTCAACCAAGTCTATGCTAGGCACAATGGTAATAAGCCAAATAGCATAAAGGATGGCAAACGGCCAGACGTCCAATCGCCATGACCAGCGTCTCTTCTTCAGCAAGTCGACTGCTTCCACTACTTTCCCATCAACAAGAAACCTCGACATTTCCCTCTACCCTGTGAACTAAAATTAAATTGAGTATAGCAGAAAACTTGCTTCAAGGGCCCCTTTTTTGCTAACAAGTTAAAACATGGCAAAAAATAATTAACAGAGATAAGATGGGAGAAGAGGAACGAGAAAAAACCTGAGCCTGAGGTATCAACTTCGTCTATGGTGACGACTGGTCAGGAATGGCGATGTGAGAAGATTGGTGAGCAAAGCGATGAAAATAGAGCCTCAATTGCGAGAAACAGTGGTGTTCAATCCTGCTATAATGGTGGAACTGGGAAAAAAATAGCTAACCCTAATGTCCCCAACAGCTTCAATGGAAACTGGCGGAATAGAGAACAGACGAAAGAGTCAGAGAGAAAAGCCTTCGTCGACCCTCCACTCGACCCAGACCATTTACGATCCAAACGGTACTCTCGATCCAATCCACCCATTAGTCACTTTATATACATCAACCGACCCGTTATTGCAATGGGTGGATATAGTCGGGTTTTAATGGGTTTGGGTCAAAATCGTCAGTCCCATCACCCATGTTAAATCTTAGGGTAAAATACAAAAGCCTCCCCTGAAATTTCTGACAATCATAAAAACTTCCTTAAACTTTTGAAAAACTCAACAAGAATTTTCCTTCCATCACTGACTTGGACATAAAACGTTAACTGATACATAATTTTTTTAAATACCAATTTTACCCTTTTTGTTACTGACCATGAAAAACATCACTGACCACCCATGTGGCAATGGCATTGGTGACATCGCTTTTGTCAAGATCAAGGCAGATCTCTGCGTTATTCCTTCTCCTTGGCCATGTCAAACTTAGACCTAAATATGTTTCTTCCTTGTCGAACCAACCGGAAAACCCAACCACTTCCTTGTCGGCTTGTCCAAGCCCAAAAGGAAAAAAGCTTGCCTGCCATCTCTCCGCCATTATAAACGCTGTCAATGACCACAAGCTTCCTCCTGAACTCCGTTGTCAAGAGAACAAATCTACATCCTCATTTCCTCTACCACGTCAACACTACCCTGTTTCTCTTTGCATTTGTTTTATTCTCTTGGGTTGAGTAAACACAGGAACCAATGTCTCACCCAATGGCTAATTAGTTGAATCCGTACTCATCCATACTTTATTACAATAATGCCAAGGAATGAAAGAAATATGTGGAACACGGACTTCGCATGTTCCTCTGTATGCATCTACCTAAGGTCATGCCCGCCATAAATGGTTTCTTCTCTTCTACACACTAAATAGACTAAAGCAGTAAAGCACAAGAACAATTTGATAGTTTATATGAATCAATTTGTGTTTTTATTGACTTAAAAGTAATGGCCCTGTATTATTATTGTTTTTTCAACTCTAAAAGATAATGGAGTAAGGAAGACGCTAAAACTGCAACTATGGCTTCGAAGTCCAAACCATATCATTCTTTCCTAGCCACTATCTCAATTCCTTTGAACACTAAAGAGAATTTTGAATGTTTATACAACACCTAGGTAAGCAATTTCCTAGGGTCCAAACAGTTTATACAACTACATCATATTCATTGTTTGGTGAGTATTGGCCTCTCTGTTCCTTATACAAGTTTTAGATTTGAAGTCCAGAGTAAAGATAATGCTTTTGTTATAACTTTTCCATGTGATCTCTAACAAGAGATAGAGAGTCATTTTCTAGTTTGTCAAGTCACCATTTTACTAAGGATATACACCATATCTTGTCTATTTTTTGGGTTCTTTGCTCATAAAATCTCCTTTGCACAGCAAACTAGTCAAATTAGCCATTGGGTTTAGTATTGATTACAATGACTAACTGATCAGCTCCCATTAACTTTATCAATTATCATCAAAGCCCTATAATCGCCTTGTAGCGGTTAGCCCTGAAGAAAGCACATGCTAACAGATTAAATGGAGATGATGCCAAATGGATTGAAGATTCTGAAATTCTGAAAGTGCAGATGCATGACATCAATGATAAAGGTATTCCAAAATACCTTTTGGATGGCAAATGTTTGGGCTTAAATGGGAGAAATAATTCATTCTAATGAAAATAAATGAATTCAGCTGAGGATCCCCTCTTTCATTAGAATGAGAGTGGTTTAATGGACATGGTTGTAGCTAGCTCGTGTTTAATCATTGGCGAAAAATGAGGGAATTGGGAGGTGTTGCTCAAGGCAAATATGGTATTTTATGACTTCTTTAAATGACATCTTAGGGGTAATTTTGTAAATGTATATGTTTTCCATTTAGGTCAATGACGGAAATGAGATTTTTGTTGAGTTTCTCAAAAGTTTAGGGGGTATTTATTATAATGAAACTATAGGGGAGGTTTTTATGATTGTCAAAAACTTTAGGGGGGGTTTTTGTATTTTACCCTAAATCTTATATTAATTAACTATATTAAAAAATATGTGATAAGTACAATTATTTTTATTAATGTAGAAATAAAATAGAAAAGTAGGAGGCATAGCAAAGCTGGTTGGTTGGTAAGGTCTTCTACCGTAGGAGACCTTTGGGTTGGGGGATGGGCTACCCCTAATGTGTAGCCCTTCAAATGAAATTAAAATAATATATAAATAAAATACAATCTTAAAAACAACCCAAAAAGGTATTTATTTTCCTATTTGGTGGCAAGTTAACAATTTAACATTTTAATAAATGATAATCAAAATTTTAAAATGTGAAAATATATGACTGTGAAAAAAATACAAAAATAATCGTAGAAAATATTTGGACACATAACTAATATTATATATTTATCATATTAAACCAAAATAAGTGTAATAAATAAGAATACTTTTATAAATATAAAAAATTGTATAAATTTTTAAAAACATATTATTTACCATCATAATCACTACCATAAAAAATTGCCACATGTAAAGCACGTACATATTTTACTAGTATTTGAAATGCATTATAGTTGGACTTCTTGGGATGGTGAAGAAAAAGGGCTCTATTATTTGAAAAGGTATTGTTCCTTGTGGATGGACCCTCCAAGTTATCACATCCAAATCCTATTAGAAAAATGAAAATATTGACAAGTGAAGAAAAACAATTGTTCTATTCTTGAAGATGTATTTTAAAGGAGACAATAGGTCATCTATTAGAGAATGATTATGTAAGTACATGTAATTATTATGATGAGGATGTCAAAGGAAAATCACATGGAGAAATTCCAACCCATACACCTTTGTAATGGCACAAAGACACTTTATCAAAATGATAAAAGGCTCACACACTTGTGATGAAGACAAAGAGCCATCTAAGACTTCTAATGGGCATTAAATGTCCTATAAGACTTATGATGAGAACAAAAAACCACAAAAAACTTGTGATAAGCATAAAATGACATTGTCAATCTAAGAAAAACCCAATACACTATTACGCCTTACGATGAACACGAAATGGTAGCCCACATTGTAATGAACGGTGAACAAACCCCAAGACAAGCAAGCAAAGCCCACCTACATGTGATTGATATTCCTTCTGGTAATAGCAAGCTACAATGAGGCACCTTGAAGGCGATCAAAGTGACACTGGTTGTTCGCCTTCCTAACCATTACATCCATCACACTTCTACATTCAAAGAAATGTATAATCCATGCATCCACAGGCATCTTACTGTGGGCTGATGTGGCATCTACCTTGGTCTTGAACTTCTCCACCTCCTTCACTAGTTCCCCATATATGCTAGAGAGTTCATGGGGATAGACTCCATGTATTGAAGATGATGGGCTGAAATGGCCCAACTAGGGGAAGTGCCAACAAAGTAGTGACATCTTCAACCATTACCCCAAACTCGCTAAAGGCACTAACAAAGGTATGGGTCCGACAGCACCAATGAGCCAAGAGTGGTTCCATGGAATCCACACCATTGCACCCAACCAGGTGTATGAAACAATCAACCAGTCTAAGAAGACTAGTGTTGTGTAAAATTTTGTAATACAATGGGTTTTCTAGTATGTATAGTGCCTATGAAGTGAAACTAGGGGAGCCCTTCATGATTTTGGTCTTTAGCTCTAGACACCTGTATGCCATGCTCCATTTTTGTCGATCGTAAGAGCAGAGGAGCTCGTTGCCCTCCATGGCATCATCGTAAGTGTCATCCTTGCCCAAAGATGTAATTGGTGAGTAACTTCATTGTATCAACTTCCCTTACGAAATCGATAAATGGGAAGTGTAGGTACATAGTGGTCGCTCAGACCATTAGAATACGGAGGATACCGAATTGGTATTCCATGACCCCTACGATAGGCTCACAATTCACCAGCTACTTGCGATGAGCTTACAATTCATCGGACGACTGCGATGAATGCATAACTCATCGCACAATTGAGACAAACTCATACTTAAGACGAATCGCGATGAACTTTGGTTAAAGAGAACCCGMGATAGACCTTAGATACGTGTGTTACTGCGATAAACCTCGAATATGTGAAGTTCTGCGATGAAATTCGGATACGCACATTCCTGTAATGATCCCGAGATCATTACAGAACCGCGGGATCACTATGAACTGGAAATAAATATAGGCTACACGTGCAACTTCAAGTTATGCGCGTGATAAGGCTCCACGTGGGTCAAATAAAAGTGTGCCTACTAATAAATGATGTCACTAATGCCACATTGGTTAAATGGACCATGAAAGGAAGTAGCACACATGAATTATGAGAATCCTCATATGAAAGGAAAATCAGTCCTCTGAGGGATCTCATAAGACACATGGTGAAACCCTACCAGTGTTCCTTAATAACCGACAACAAATCCAATATTCCCTTTCCTATGGGGAATCAAACACTTTTGACTCATTCCTTTCGGAACCTGAGGATCTCTCCTTATAAATGAGAGACCATCCCATAACAAATTCATTCATTCGATCACTCCCTCACTCATTCGTCCTTATCACCTTACCATTTACCCTAGCCTTCAACCCTACTTCCTGCCTCGGGTCTTCATTCGTCTTTCGAGGAGACCACCCTCACGTAGCCTAGCCACCACATTTACATTAGAATCTCTGGTTGATATCATGGAGGACGGCCGCTCGTAGGATCAATCTCTCACCCATTCTTGAAGAACATGATAACATCCCAAAAAATACCCATCCAGAGATAGGGAACCAGTATGAGACAAAAGCAACCGACCAAGTCGACATCGAAATCCTGTTGAACAAGGTTTATGAATTTGAAGCTCGGTTCAACCGCATCGAGCAGATGCAATACGAAATGAGGGCTGCCCTATAAATTCTTCTCCAACAATCTACCCAAACCGAACAATCCCCCTTTACCCCGGCCGCCGCTCCCGCATCCATCCCTACCAGCCATATGCCTCCAACCTTAATCCCCCATGCCGGAACAGCCTGCCAAGGTTAATCCAATACCCGTGCAAGCTAGCCAGCCCACCATAGGGCAGTTC